TCTTTATAGTACGCATGAGATCGGTTCAAAAACTAAAGAGATGACATTTCAACATAATGTTTGCTTTTGTAATTTAGTGTTTTATGTATCAAAGCACGTATTATTTGGTGAGATTTATGGGGTGGAAGCTTTGGTTTGTGAGTCGTTTTGGCCTCTTTTAGCCCTCTCAGTTCTTGGAAACCAGATGTCAAGAGCAAAGGCTAGTATGTCATGCTTTATCATCTATTTAACTCTAAATGAAGCCATCATTTAGCAAATTAATATCATGCTGTTAACTAAGACTCGGGACTAGCTATTGAGACCACAAACACATAAGGAAATTAGTTATTGAGGGCATAAATCAAGTGAACAGCAGAGTAATTTTTTCATAGACATCTGGACTCTGGACCTCTTTTATTCCAGAGAAGTTGCCCCCTGCTGGTCAGTAGAGAAAATGCAGGTTTAACACACTTCCACAATGGCTGTGTGATCATAGGCATTTTTCAAAAATTAAAAAAAGGACCACACTAGTTCCTCCCGCTCATTTCAGGTCCTTATCCTAAGCTCAACCAATCAGCTTCTCACTGTAGCTTCAAACAGTATTTATGAGAAATCTGATATAAGATCAATATTGATTTTCTCATTTAATTCTTATTAAGGAAGCAAATAATCGGGAAATGAGGAAGCATTCAAACCATTGTGTCCTCTAACACATCAGGGATGTTTCATCCTTATGTATAATGAGACATGTCATTTTCCACTATCTTCGATCAATGGACGTCACAGCCTGAGGAACCCCAATCATAGACAATATGAATATGAATTGGTTGCTGTTACAGATCATTACAGATTCCACCGACATGTTAGTGCACCAAATATAAAGACCGTTCATTTCCAGTGTGACACTCACCATTCTTCATGGCAATTACTCTTTTATGAAGTTTGACATATTTTAATAGATATGACGTGCCAGAAAAGTATATTTGTCTTGGAATGAAATGATTTGTCAGTGAGATCTTGGTGAAAGATTTAAAGGCAATTTCATGTATGTAGTCCTATGCAAATGAAGAAACCGATGGAAAGATCAGCCAAATATTTGCTTATGAAAAATCGCATGACAGATATAAAACTAAATAAAGATCTGTATGTCAAAAAGAAATGGGGTTGCTAAACTATATAACTTCAACTGTTTAGATCTCAAGAGTGTAATAAACTCACATTCCAGTATGTCCAGCATCAAAAAGTTCATCTTAAGTCTCAAATCAAGAGTTACATTTCCCATTTAAAAATCACATTAATCTGATAGTCGGGGCTTTTACACAGACATGTTTCCTGCTGGGTTTTTAACTAGCAACCAGCATTACGTTAGATATTTTAGTGTCTGTGTACAATTTATAAACTGCAGCAGAATCTTACTGAAATATATAATGAAGTCATTTTTTTATTTAAATACCTAGTTGTCTGTTAAGTGACAACCACTTAACCAGACTCAGATTAATACATCAATATCAGTCATTTGTTAGCTCTCAGACTTTTTGTTTATGATCGTCCATAATTTTGACCTTATTGCTTAAACTGTTTATTCTGACTCTGTCTCGTGTACAGGAGCAAAAACGTCTACTTTTACTCATGTAGGCTTTGATGGTGACATTTGTCAATCTCAGAAACTAGGTACATTTTGAGCCCTACTCGTTGGCTTAGTCCAGGTTAACATTGTCATGCAACATGTGCTGCACAGCCAGTAAAGGCAGTGGTTCCTGTTAGATTGCTGTGTAGTGAACTGTTACTGAGCGACCGCTGAGCTGCTGGAATCGCTGGAGGACCACTGGAAAAACGATTATCCAGACACCAATGGGCGCCTGGCTGCTCCCACTGGCAAAGCAATCACTGTGTTATTTGGTAGAGAATGAATTACTGAACATTTTGAGATTTGATGCTTAATCCCCAAATGAATGGCTCAGAGTATTAACGTGCTGCACTACTGTTTGTGTGTTGCACCTTTTTTGTCTGTCATTTATTCTCCCCAACCTCCCATTCTGTGTTTTTTTAATCTTATATTATATGGATTTTATAGGTACAAGCAGGAACTGTTTGTTATAACAGTCCCTACAGTGGTGGCATCAAAGGATTGTCGTCTCCTTGGCTTTGTTCTTTGTAGTTGATCCAACTCTATGCTTTTACTCATCTCCTGTGGCCATGTTTGATTTGCTGTAGCCTTGACCAAGGCTCGGTACTCAGCATTGTCACCCCAGATTACTAAGAAGCACAGATCTCTACAGAGCCCTGCAGAGGGCAAAAAAAAAAAAAAAAAAAAAAAAGCATCAGAGATTGCAATGGGTAATCACGGTTTTTTTTTAAAAAAGGGCTGCAAAGGATATGAGAATCTTTGTACAAAGAGGTGTACTCTAGCAATATGAATGAGTTGGAAAGGCTGTGCCCTGCAGGGATTTCTATCATCTCTCTCAGAACTTGATACCAGGTTGAAGACGAAGCTTGCACCAGCTCCTTTTATCTAGCCTGAGATTGGTGATTAGATTGAGGAGCCCGGCAGAGGAGACGCAAGTCCTCTCCTCCACACCAAGAGGAAAAGCAATGTTCCACAAGACTACACATTCATTACTCAAAATAAATCTCCATTAAACAAATGCCACAAGCATAATTAGGCTATAGGAATAATTATAATTGTGATTAGTTTCTCCATGGGCCGACCTATGTAAATTGTGATTGACACTCTGCAAATAGGGAATGCATAAATCTGGCATTGGAGATACACAGACACATATGGCAGCAGAATACTGAGGAGACAAAGGGATTGAGGGCATGGGTGGCTGTAAACATGCCTCCGCTGCACATTCACAATCCAAGCTTTACAAGGCTACACAACCAGCATGTGTTTTGTATAAGAAATAAATCCTCAAAGAAAGGATTACATGCACTCGGCTGCAAAGGCATCGTACCACAGCAGTCCAGCAACAAATCCAGCCATTATGAGGGTGATAATCTTTACATTTTATTTAGCTGTAGGCCTCTATTGAAATAAACACTCCATTTGAAATGATACAAAACAACAGCACCACAATGTACAGTCCCATATAGCAGTGGCATAATATTCAGATTGTATGCCTGCGTGTGTGTGTGTCTGTATTTTTGTTTTTGTCCTTCTTTTTTTTTTTTTAGATAAAACAGGAAAAATTATTAGTTTAGTGCAAGTAAATTTGACATATGATGCCGAATAAGTTATTTTGGGTCTATTAGAAAAACAACGTAAGATTAAATTATGAGCTAATTATGGCATACAGTATGTAAGGCATAACCGTGTCCTGTCATTTAATAACAAAGGGACGACTTAATTAAAATGGCGAGATTCAAAACAGACTTGAACTGTGTCTCAGTTCCATAGTGAGACATCATAGGAAGGACTTTGTTTATAACACAAGAAATCAAAAAAATTAAAGGAGAAGTCTGTCACTAAAATAAAAGACATGGATTTGTTTGGGAACAGCACTATCCTATGGCAGTAGTCTCTCCCAGCAGGACAAGATGCCCCAAAAAAATGCTCAGAAACTCAAAGTATGAACCCCAAAGTCTGGCCTTCAAGTTTACCAAACCCAGTCAGATCCAGTGTCCACCGAGGGTGACCACGTCGCAAGAAACTAAATGAGAGGCTAAGAGTAAGTTTGTCAACTAGTAAACTCAGTGCATTTTACAAAAATAATAATAATACACATATGCAAAACTACACTGTTCAAAGATTTAGCATTGATCACACAAAGAACCTTAATTGACTAATTAAACTTAACTAATTCAATTAAATACATTACTTGAGCACCATTTCCTGACCAGCTTAAACAGAAGCTTAAATTTATTTATTTTTTATGGTCTGAAGCAAAAGTCTATGTAGACTTGAGTATTTCTATTTCTAGCACAATGTAATATAAACTGTAATTCCACTGCTGCTGTCTGGTAACTGTCTTTGTTTCCCCCCTTGGGATGCGACCATACATTTGCACATTTTGTTTCAAGTTGACCTTTGTAAACTGGAGCCAATCAAAATTTAAGACTTCATCAAAACCCAAACCAAAAGATCTGTTACCAACATTCTGGTGCTAGACAACATTACCCCCAGAGGTCGCACCATTACAAAGTGTTCCCAAGTACTAGGCAGATGGTTCTACTGTCCAGGCTACCTGTGGTTAAATTTTATTTAACAAATTCAGTATAAAACTATTACCTTTATAAAGCCAGACGAGTTTAGAAAGATGGTTCTAGTCCGCATGCACACTGACCATAAAAGCAGCCATCGTTTGTGTTTTTACAGACACGTTTAACACCTGATGCAATAGGACAGAGGATGCCTGTAAACTTTGATATGCTTAATCTCCACAAACAGCAGTCAATCAGTCACATAGCACAGAGTCCCCGTCTAGCTCTTCAAAAGGAAATGATTACAGCCTGGGCCTTGATCCGTCCAAACTGCTGCAGGATCCCGCTGGCGGAGCAGTCCAGATATTTGTGTGGAGATAGCAGAGCCTATTATTACCAGGCTGCGGTTGCTGCTGAGGTTCCACTTTATGCGCACCTTTGATCTCCAAAGATATCTTTTAGAGAAACAATACCCAGCCCAACCCATCCTTTTGAACTCACCAGGTGGGGGCAGCAGTGCTGATATCAACTGAACAGGTGACTGGTGGAGGGAGGTGGTGTCTAGTGTTTTGTATCTTATCTGCTAATACACTGTGTGACTGCTTTGTCAATACATATGGTAACACTAGTGTCAGCAGCTTTGCAATATATTCAAAAAAGGGCCACCCAGCTTGCACTTGGTTCTTTCCATTTTAATGGACCAGCTAACAATAGCAGATAAAGGCATTGATAGAGAAAGAAAACCATCCAACGCTTCTACAACCACAAGGAGACATTTTCAGGCTATAGGATCTAATCCTGCCCTTTGGAAACCAATTTCCCCAGAGACACTTGGATTCACACAACCAGAAAAATGACATTAAAAGACCACAAGATAATCAGTTATGATATGTTCACATTTATTGTGCAGTGACTTTTATATACATACATTTTATACACCTAATTTACATGAACAGAAATAAATTAATCTGCTAATGTTCTTTAACTCATCTGGCTTTAGTGTTGCCATTGACTGGACACAGCAATCGTTGAAGGAGAAAAAGCACAATAATTCCAAGTGACACATGAGTGACAAGGCAGTAATATGAGTCAATGTAGTCTAAGTTTCAGTAGTGTTATATTTTTTACGCACATAAAAGAAGCAGTTGGTAAGAGTTTTAGTGTTGTGAGTTTGAACGAATGGAGAGGCCAGCGTGGAGCTTTGCTTCCACAACTGGATGGAGACAAATGAACAGATGTTAAAAAACTTGTTTAAAACGACACTGTCACACTTGTCTGAAGCACCAACATTTGGTTTTATCTTTTAAATATAGATTAAACACTTTCCATAGTGCTGGTCCTCTGATTTTAGCTTTTAACTATATCAAAGTGTTATTTAAGAGACTAAGTCAGAAAACTAATAACGTCAGTCGTTAGCTTAAATCATTTTTTAAAAATGGCTTTATCTTAGAGAAAAGATGTGCATTATTTTGCACCAATGCATTTAAGGGGGTTTAATGTTCCATAAAATATATTTATCTTTTATATATTAATGAATTAAAGATGTTTCAGACACAATTTTAACTCTGGATTCCTTTTACATTATTATGTGTTGTCATTTACTCGTGGCGATGCATTTGATGTGAAACTATTTTTTATACAACATGGTCAAACAGACGCCCCCTAGTGTCCAAAACATCTCACAAACTGCATCTTTAACATTAGATGACTTACTATTGTGCTACATACAGTATTGTTCACTGACAGACACAAAGATAAAATACAACTCGGCTTAGTAGTGTGTTCTTTATAAAAACTAAATCTAAACGAGCTAATGTGAAAATCGTCTTAAATGTGTACACTGTAGTGTGTGAAAACGATAAAAAAAATACATTAACTGGAGCGGCCAGGTACCCACACACATTAAAGTCTGGCATAGGAAAAGAATAAAAATGTAAACCACTTAGAGATCATCTCTAGGTTTCCCTGTGACAAACTAAATACAGACATCAATTTGCTCTCAACTTTTCAGTGTTGAAGAACCTGACAGGAAGTCTAACTTTCTACTGCTAGCTTATGATAAACACTGACACTACCTAGAGTGACATGCCTATGTAACACGAAACAACACATCAGCTCCAGCCTCCTCTTTTACCATACAGAAACACAGAAAGAATTTACAGGATACACTGATGGCTCTTAAGCACTACAATGCTGCAAGCAGCAAAAACTCTAAGCTATCAAAACATGCAGCCTGTGGTGAGTTTCTACAGTACTATTCAGAAGTTGTTGGTGGTAAATGTCTTTGAGAAAACCCAGAGTTTGTAGATTGTTTTTATTACTATTATATCTATCATAATATAATGATTTTAAACATGGCTCTGTTGTTCCATTAGCCTCACTCAAAATCTTTTCAGACTCTCTCAAATAAAGTGAACAAATAATCGCATGGCAACCGCACTGGAACATCTGATTATTGCACACTAGCACTGAACTTGCAAATGTTCATGCAGAATGAATGAGAAACACACTCCACTCAAATCAGTGTTTGCTCACTATGTGACAGATGACCGTAGAGTTCTTTGGAAGACTGAAAATACATTGTTTGAGTCGGGGAGCGGGGTACATGACTACGTGGCACATCACCGAGACATCTAAAACTCTTTTGTTACAACCTAAGGTGAGAGAGAGAGAGAGAGAGAGAGAGATGCTGTGATGTTTTAGAAAATCAGTTTGGGGATCTGACACCAACCGACCACAAGTGGTTTACAGTACGGTCTTTAAAACAGTAGAAAAGGAGGCGTGCCGGAGATGATAATTGCACTGAGGGGTACGAGGGGACGAGAGCATATGTGTGAGGGAATTTATCAACCTCTTTTTCAAGCAAAATCTAGCATTGCATTTAAAATATAATACATCCATATTCAACATTCATGGCATTGTTTCTGTTAAAACACAAAAATATTAAAGACTCACAGGAGGAGTCCCGGCAAAGACAACATTTGATGCCAGGGGCTCATCTGTTTGGAGATGAGAGTTTAAAATTCTTGTATAAAGTAAAAGCCGAAAAAAATATATAAATAAATGCAATCTTTTCAGACACACATTTTCCCCACAAACTACTCTGCACACTGTAGACTAAGTGACGAGACAAGTCGTAAGGCAGAAGGATGAAGAGAAGGACAAGTGAGAGTGAAACGGGGGCTGTTGTGATGGGTCCTGTGTTTAAAGGACAGTGTATCATCTGCACTCGAGCTCACGGGGACTGAGATCCTGACCTGTAGCTCTTGAAGCTGCCGAGCAGACTCTGCATGCCTTTCTTGACGCGGCGAGCCACAGAGTCGGCAGGAGGCGTGGGCAGGCAGGAGGCGAGGCTGGGCGGACGTGCATCCAAACATTTCTGGTAGCGAAGCTTGAAAGAGAACAAAACCACAAACATGGATGTCTAAGGTGACAAAGACAAGACTCAACACTGGATTCCACAACTGTGGCAAATTATCTTCCCACTTAAGGACAAACAGGAACTCTTATTTAGTTTAGTCTCATGCTGACTCATGGTGAGTGTTTCATGTGACTCACCATGCAGGCAGCCTGCACGGCCTCACTCAGACTGGCCGCATTGGGTTCACACCAAAACATGTGACAGGTGAAATCGTGGGGACCTTCCGCCATGATGAACGCAAAGGTGTGGACGTCCTTCCCCACACCCATGAAAGACAGGAAACGCACCCTGCACTCTGACAGCACCTCCTCATCCTAGAGTTTTAAAAAAATAAAAAATACAAAGGTTGTCCAGTCAAAAAAATTTGTTAAAATGTGGAAATCTTCTGCAGTCCACCCTAACCCTCAGACACAACTCTAGATCATCACACGAGGAAAACCAAGTACCTTATAAGTTCTTTTCAACTACCAGCAATATACAAGATGAGTTCAGGAAAACAAATAGGTCAGAAAACAAAGTACCACTTGGTAACACTTGGTATGTGGCTTTGCTTCATCTGTTCAGTTTCTCCTTACAATCTAAATATTTCATGGTAATTTTAGAGTAAATCGCAAAATCCTAGTCATAGAAAAATCATTTGATTTTCAAAGCAATTCCAAAAGAAAAACATTTAAGTTTATCCTCTAGGATGGTTACTGCAAGTGATAAATATCAGAGTCCAGACTATGAGAATCACTGCTATTTCTCACAAAACTTTAAAAAGAAAAAAAGAAAAGAAAAGCGGACAAAAGCAAAAAGGACTGTTCTTACAAATATCTCTTGTGTGTGTAGCTTAATGCCCCCAAATTAATTAAATTACTTTTAATTAAAGTAAAACGTAAATAAAATGACTTATTCCCACAGAATAGAGTTAGGTTTAGGGTTATCACTGATGATGACTTCATCGCACATTTTAAACATACTGATGACAACTCAGAAAAGGACCAGTGAAGATGACAATCAGTCACTGACTTTAATTCCCCATACTGTTCTGTCATGTTCAGACTGTTTTCCAATACCTGTCGTGAAAGTATTGTGAGGGTGGCTGGTGCAACATTCACAAAGACAGGAGTCCAGTCATTTTTATCTCTGCCATTCATTGCTGTCTCTAGTGTTTCATTGACTATGTCCATACCTGAAAAGAACACACACAGAATATATGATCAGCACATCACAAACACGGTCAGCATGACAAAGTACAATAGAAGTATTTAGCACAGCAGTTACACACTTTAAGGCGTTTTCTTACCAACGGGTTTAGCCACAGGCTGATTGCCCAGGTAATAAACACGGAAGCGCTGGAAGAGTTCATTTTTTGGAGCTGGAAACTCTGTTAAGAAGTGAGGAAACATTATGCAACTTGTTCCTATGCTTTCAGAAATTAGGACATTCAAAGTGTCTAACTTTGCTTTACCTTCAACAGGGATGACCACAGGTTTGCCTGGGTCAGAGTTGAGCCTGCTCACCCCTGGCTTGGAGGCCTTTCTCTCCATCATTATCTGAAGTTAAATAAGGGAAAAACTGTGAATTTTAATTAAATTTAAAAAAAAAAAAAAAAAAAAAAAAAAAACACACCTCAAAATCAGCGGAGACTCTTTGAATTCATAATGACAAATCTAATAAGGGCTAACCTTTGAACACATCTCATGTAAGCTGGTGGCAATGTTCTTGGCGGGCGAGTCGCAGCGGAAAACGTGACACTTCAGAACTTGGGTCAGGTTGTCTCGTGCAACATAAGCAAAATCCCTGCAGGAGAAAGATTATATACACATACAGAGTGGCTTATTAAATCTGCAGTTTTTAAAAATACGGTTTTAAAAATACAAGCTTACGAGAACATAAAACACAGACAGACATAGGGCTGGGCCATATCATGCCGGCCACGGTAATACCGGTATAATGTTGGGCAAGGATAAGAAAATGAAATATCGTGATAGAATATGGGTAAAACGTGCATGCGCAGTGCCTTTGTTTTCATACACACATGGCAGAAAAAGCATACCGGCGGCAGAGAATGAGAAGGGCGAAAGAGGGAACGCTGAATGAAACAGATAAACCAGAATTGGTTTGTAAAGCACAAAGCACTATTTTTGGTAGAGCATGCTACCGTGTTTTTTGGAAAATACGGCACACTTAAAATCAATCCTTTGATTTTTCTGAAAATCTACAGTGCCCCTTATAATCCCGTGTGCCTTATGTATGAATTCTGGTTGTGTTTACTGAGCTCGAAACGATTTTATGCGGCACACGGCACAAATCTGTCAAATGTTTTAGTACGACTTTGCTAAGCTATGAACCCGCACCGCTTGATGGATTGTCAAAGCATTACGGCTATTGTAGGTAGGAGCCTCACGGAGTGATACGTACTGTGCTTCAACATAATATTACCGTATTGTGTGTTTATAACCTCTTTTTAGGTTTTGTGGATATTATACATGGTTATGCTGAGGATATTTCAGCCAAATGCAAATTCCTTGCTGGAAGGAATTTGCATTAGCACTGTTACATTTTTATATAACTTTAATGCACATAAAAAACAGCTGCTGTTTAAGTGAAAATACATTGATTGTATTTTGTCTAGTGTCAATTATATCACCAGTTATATGGTAAATGGCCTGTATTTGTATAGTGTTTTACTAGTCCCTAAGGACCCCAAAGCGCTTTACACATCCAGTCATCCACCCATTCACACACTGGTGATGGCAAGCTACATTGTAGCCACAGCCACCCTGGGGCGCACTGACAGAGGCGAGGCTGCCGGACACTGGCGCCACCGGGCCCTCTGACCACCACCAGTAGGCAACGGGTGAAGTGTCTTGCCCAAGGACACAACGACCGAGACTGTCCAAGCCGGGGCTCGAACGGGCAACCTTCCGATTACAAGGCGAACTCCCAACTCTTGAGCCACGATCGCCCCTATATCGTTATTGCAAATTTTCAAATGTATAGCGTGATAAATATTTTGGGTCACATCGCCCTGCTCTAGACAGACACACACGAAAATAACAACAAAATGGCACACAACAAGAATTATATACAGTTTTTAGAATAGTAATCATTAATGGATACCTTTCCCTGCTCATGATTGAAAATGCAGCATGAAAGAAAAGAAAGAAATACACAATTATTAAGAAATCAGCAACAGGAGGCAATGTTATTAAAAATCCAGCAGAGGGCAGCAGCATGCTGCAAAATAAAGACTAACACAGCCACCATGCCAGATCTCAGAACTGCAGCACATCATTTTAAGTCACTGAGTAAGGACCCAATACAAAAACAGCAAAAAAAAAAAAAACCATTCAAATATGGAAAATAAAGCAGCTTATTCAGTCAGAAGTTATGAAGAATATTCAGGAACTCAACTAAACTAAATTTCACTCAATGCAAAAATTCATCACAGCAAACTTCAGTTAACCTTAAACCGAGTAGGATTTCCGCTCCATTTAAACATTTTGGCATCCATCAGGATAGTTATCAAGATTGTGATATGCAAGATATGATCTGCCCCCCTCCATTTATAAAGTGGAGTTAAATTTACTTAAGCTTAAAATACATTGTGCTTGTCACTATTCAAAGTAACTCAAAAATTGGGAAATGCAAAAAAAATTTTAAAAATTTTTTTTAAAAAAAATCCAATCAGGTTTACATGCCCTCCAAAGGTAGATTTTAACCTAGGAAAAAGCCTGGAGATATATTTAATTTGAGATTTAAATAGCCTCATTAGAAACATGCTGTCACTGAGCACCTCAAACAAATTACAAATGCGAGCTACATTTTAATAGAAAGAAGAAAAAAATGCATGTCCAATTAAAAAAAAAAAAAATTATATGAGCTTAAAGTTAAAAATTATATTTTTTAAGTATCATAAAAAACAGCAGAGCCAATGACATTACATTTGTTTTCAAAACTGACTGAAGAAGGCAGTTAAATACATTTTATAGTTCTGCCATTTTCAATTTGCCCTTGTGCTGTGGATACTGACCTGCCGTTGTCTCTGCCGACACCCCAGACCCGGATGCTGCCAATCGGCTGAGCATGAAGCAAAGTCTGGCCCAGTGGGTCGATCAACTTCATGGTGTCATTCTCCAGGACCATTAGCATGTCTTTACCCTGTCACAACACACGTTTCAGTTTGAGAAGTCAGACTAAGCACACATTTCTACAAAATGTTGTTACCCACGGTACTTTAAGTATTTCTCTTGAATTCAAAACACTATTTTAGAAATGGAAATGGAGCATTATCAATCATTTTCAATCAAATCATCAAAGACGAATTGTGGTTGGAACCAACCACTAAATGAAACATGTTTCTGCCCTGCACATTCAAAGAAATTCTTATTAAAAAGAACATTACATAAAATGTCATGAACATATCTGTGTGCGTGTGTCATTACAATCATCTTACCTCTCCCCAGATCCCAGCGGTGTCATGAAGGTTGTGTTTGTGATAAGAGAGCTGCCTGATGCAGTTGTTGACAGCGACACTACTCTTGCCAGGTGCCATGTCGTCCTCAGACATCTCAACCCAGCCCAGAGAGCGCACTGCGAAACACTGACAGTACAAAAGTGCTGCATATTAGTATAAACTAGGACACAAAAAACTCTTTCATGTGCAGAAAACTATTAATCTTTGGTAGATAGGTAAATAAATAGATAAATAATCAACGCCCCTACACATTTCATATGTCCTACATCTCTGAGACCCATTCCAATGCCAGTTTTCTGTGACAGCATTTCTAAAATGAAAACTGAGACCCAACTACTCTGAACATATTGAAAAAATCTAAAATTAAGCAGATGATTTACCTTAGTTTCTAAGTCTGTGCAGAGTGGAGCAAGCTTCTCTTCATCCTCAGATTGGGAGCAATTATAACTACAATGACAGAAAATAAAGTTAAACATCTCCAAAATTAACACTGACTAATTAGAAAGTTTTAACACCACATACTTCAGGTTGATAGATGCATAGCGTAAAGTTGCTCCTTCAAACTCCTTCAGACTTTGATCAGATGCAACTTCTCCCTCCTCCTAAAGACAAACATTTATGTGCAGATGGAGCCATTTGATCACAGAGCACATATGCATGAAAGGTATGTAAATTCTGTCATATTGTCCAAAATACTATAAGGCTTAGGGTTGTTCCTGGTGACTAACTTACTAGTCTTAAATGGGAGAATGCAAAAACTTTAACTAGTGAGCTAGTCTTAAAGTTCAGGAAAAAAAATCAAGTTCTAATTCATTCTAATGAATTAGGGTAAATAGTCTCCATCAAAAAAAACTGTCTGTTTGTATTTAGGGTGTTTTTAATCCATGAATCATATTCTTTAATAGTCAGATCTTATTTTAAATGTCTGAAATGTGTGGCATAACACTGCACACCCTCTCTGTGAGAGGCCTGCTGCTACCTAATGTGATTGTTTACACCTGAGTTTACCAAGTGTCTTGGCAACCTGCTGCTTGATTGTTAGATACTGTGTTGTTATTTTTTTTATTGATTATTGCACTGTAGAGGCTGGTGAGAAACAACATTTCAGCCTGTGTATTTCTGCAAATACCATCCAAAATTACAATAAACTATCTTGAATCTAGGAACTACCTAGGTTTGTTAGCAGATTCTGAATAACATTAAATGTGCTAACCAACAGCTTTCATTCTTCAGGGATGTAAGCATCCCACCTAGCGAATGCAGTTAAGCATTGATTTATTTGAGTATTACATACAACTATCCTTGTTCTAGATCAAAGTACTGTAGAACATCTGTCTTACCTTCCACCTTATAGATTGATAAACTGAAAAATTTTTCTAACTAAGCAATGACAGCAACATTTAATCTTCTAGGACTCGTTACGCACAACCCTACTAAATATACTCAAAAGACATTTCAAAGAGGTGAGTTGAATAAAACTCTAGCCATGATTTACCTTCCACAGTTCCCCTTCACCAGCACCTTCATCAGTGCTGGACAGTTGGGCCCAAGATTCCTGGAAAAATGTGACAAGACTTACCGTTAACAACAGTTTTACTTGTCAGTGCCTCTGTCAAATTAGGATGCTGGTTAGACCTCACCTCAGGTTCCTCGCAGGGCGTAGTCTCCAGGGACATCGTGGAGGACATCATGGAGTCCCCAACTTTACCCAGGGGTGAAGGAGGCTCCCACTGAGTGGTGCCTGTGGGAATGTGCCAGTAGTACGTGCCCGATGTATCTCGCACCCTCATCCATCCCGAGGGCAGGTCTGTGTCCGTCTCAAAAGCGCTGGAATCCCAGAAAGACTCTGAAGGGCGGGAAGTAGGAGACCAAGGTTACTATAGGTAACTTCATCTCAACTAAATGCATGGAAATGCATATTAATTATCTAATTAACAAAGTAAAAAAACATTTTACTTTTTTTGATTTGGTCAACACAACCAGCCTTTGGAAGCATTGGTGAAGATGTAATAGCTGTTCTGCTTTCTAAATTTTGCCCCTGAGAAAAAACACCCCCCTAATATTGCAGTATTTAAAAGGGGGGAAAAAAAGGAAAGGTTTAAACTAATAATAACTAAAAATAATGAGTTATTTAAGTAATAAAGTATAGCATCTGTAATTTAAATAAAGAGATGATAATTCACTATTTCCAGGAGTCTCTTTTTTACTGATATGTTTAGCAGCCAAATCATCCTGTGTTGCTTCTATTTTGACCGTTTTGGCTTTTCTTGTTAGCTGCAGTATGATGCTAATAAACAGAGTGTATTCTTCAGATTTTTTAATATCTGCACAAGCTACAACATAAAGTTGTCTAAACACCTTGTATGTTTTGTTTAGTTTTTACCTCTGTTGCCATTTGGAGAGCTGTCAGCTGTGTTGTCCTGAGACAGAGCAGGCCAGCTGGACTCTTCATCACTTGGTGTCCCGTTCATGTTGGAAAAAAGCAGGCAAGCGTTCCTCCCCACTCTCTGAGACTCCACATTACTCTCTTCTTCTGCCAGTTTCTCTCCTCTGGTGTCACCTGATGTTTCTTCATCGTCTTCCAATTTACTTTCCTTCTCTTTGTCATCCTCTTCTCTCTCTTTATCTTTCTCTTCTGTGGATTCCAGGGTGTCAATGAGAAGCGGCTCATTAAGGATGTTCTTTGACTCCTCCTGACTGAGACCAGGGGTCATTTGGATTTTGGGAGACTTGGTCTGCTCCTCGTTACCCTGTTGATCTTCCTGAGTGGTGTTCTGGTGAGGGAAGTCTTCCCTGTTCCCATTCTGATTGATATTGCAGTTGTGGTCTTGGTCCTGCTGGTTCTCCGCTACTTTCCGCAGCTGGTTTTGGCCTTCCTTGACCCACTTGGCATTGTTGCCGGTGGACTCCTGGTCGCACCAGTGGCTGCCGTCATTCAGTTTGTTCTTTAGCTCTTCGTCTTGCTTCTGTTTATTCACAACATATGTCATATCTTCATCATCATGACCACCCATGGTAACTGTCCATGTAGCTGCTCTGACAGAGAGAGGAAAAAATACATTAGCATTGCCTTTAGCATACTAGTTAGCAGTGATTTTAGCAAAGATTCTCATCAAGGTTTCTCAAATATAGAACGACCACTTGATACAAATACATTCAAATATTTCACAGTGGCCGTTAAATGTTGAATCAGCGAAGTAATAATGTTTAAAAATATGAAGGATGAAGTCCGTTTCTTGTTCGTGTATTCCGGGTTGGTCATTTTACTGGCAACTTTCACTGTTTGGTTTCAGGCGAATACAAAACGCACTTCAGCAGCTTCACCTTCCATTTGCCAACACGACCTTTTTCATTTTTAGATAAACGGGCGCTGTAAAGAGCCTGTATAAACCTGGGTCATTATTTAGGTTCACTCACATGATTGTTTAATAAAACCTAGGTAAATACCGTGGTTTTACTTGTTAGATAACATCGCCGCAATTGGAAATAACGGGCACCGTCCGCCATCACCGACATCTTTGCTAGGCTAATGTTAGCTTCTCGGTTGGCTAGCTAACATTTCCAAACTGCAGAAGCAAAGTGACTGCAGCAGCACTGTTTTTATTAAAAATTTTGACTCACCAGCTCACCAAACTCCTTTGTCGTCGAAATGCGCTAAAATGTGTAGCGTAACTACATATTTCCAAAGATCGTGAGGGCTCTCGCTCGGTTTCTAGGTGGTGTTTTCTGTCTGTGGGCTCGGCTAGTGATGGAGGGCGAACCTGCGTCACGGATTAACGTCACGGCCAGAGCCCACTGCTGCCACTCAGGCACAGAGCAGGAGGCAGACCCAATGAAGGAAAACCGGTCCTTCACACTTCACACACAAATATTGATTAGACGCTGAGCGGGAGGGGGCATACAGGTCGCAGGGTAAGCAGCTCCCGGTCTAACCAAGAAAGAAACCATAACGAGTAAAATAACAAAAGAAGGCATGCAAAATAATCACAGGGAGATGAAGATGACATCAAAAAGAAGCAAAAGTTGGCCAAAAACAGGCTCAAATTGAATTTAAAAACCACAGAGAGATGCAAAAGTGATCACAAAACACCTGAAATTAATAAAAATGACCAATGTTAGACGCAATAAAAGAATCAATAAAGAGCTGCAAAATCGCACCACAAGGAGACGGAAGGGTTCCAAAAAGGTGGAAAAATACAAAAAAAAGAAGAGGTTTTTTTTTGGGGGGGGGGGGGGTTGCATCTGTGTGTGTTGATTCTTGGGGCCTTTTACATTTTTGTTGTCTCTGCATTATATGGGTTGATCCCAAATGCGTTAAATGTTCATATTCATATTAGCAGACCACTTTTTAATAAGCCCAGCTTTTATCTATACTAACGTCTTTGGCCAAAAAAGTGCTAATGCAACACTATAAAATACTTTGCTGAGTAGTAGCAGTAGTAAAAGCTTGAAACATATATTTAAAAAAAAAAAAAAGTCAATTGTATTTCGGTGCCTCAACTCCACTTATATCATTGAAACTAATAATGTACTGCTACATGTCACTGGACACGTTTGGAAGAAAAACTGCCCTTAAATGAAGAAAGTACTGAAAACATTTCTCAGTGATTTTGGTCCATACTGACATCACACTGACATCACACACTTGTTGCAGGTTTGTCAGTTGCACATCCATGATGCAAATCTCCTTCCACCACATTCAAAAGGTGCTCTTTTCCACTGACATCTGGTGACTGTGGAGGACATTTTGAGAACTCATTGTTGCATTCAAGAAACCAGTTTGAGCGTTTGTGACATGACATTCTATCCTGCTAGATGCACTGCGGTGATAAAGGGATGAACATGGTCAGTAACAAGACTCAGGCAGGTAGTAATTGGCTTGAATATTGCAACAGAAATCAAGACTCATCAGAACTGTTATTGTCTAATTTTGGTTAGCCCAAACCCCCCGTTGCTTGTTCTTAGCTGACAATAGTGGCACCAGATACGATCTTCTGCTGCTTTAGCCCATCTACTTCAAGGTTTGCTGTGCAATCACAAACCCTCTTCTGCACAATCACAAACCCTCTTCTGCACATTTTGCAGTGAATGGTTATTTCAGTTACTACTGCCTCCCTATCAGCTCCAAGCCATTGTCGTCTGACCTCATCAACAAGGCATTCTTGCCCAGAGAACTGCTGCTCTTTTTTTTCCAGACCATGCACAACTACACCAAATTCAAAGCGACTTAAATCATTTTTCTCCTGCATTCTGATGCTCAGGTTTATCTAAGCAACATGTTCATATGCCTAAATGCACTGGATGATAGCAGATATATGCATTAGCAAGCAGTTAACCTGGAGAGTATGTCCGATATTGGGAAAGTATGCTTTCTAAAATAGTGATAAACCCATAACTCTATTATTGTCTCATACTACTCAATCATGTTTTACATTTCTGATCAAATTTGTATGTCAACACTGACTGAGATAATGAGACTCAATACTACAGAAAGCTCAGAAAGCCCTGTTCCTCATAAGATAAATGTTACGTTTAAATGTCAATACAATGACACTTATGTCGCCTCTCTTGAAGAGATCTGCAATCTTTATGCATTTCCCACAACAATCCTGTCATGTCCAGTTCCCTCCAGAAAACGCACACATTCAAGTTGTCCATATGTTTTATTTTTTAATATACTCATATATAAATACATACATTTGCATATGTCATTCTTGATTTTGGCTTCAGCACAAACAAGCAAGCTGGTGGAGGCACAGAAAAGACAAAAAAACCTTGAGTGGGATATAAAGCAAGAAGTAATCCAGTGGATCAAATAATAAATGAGAGAACACAAACACATGTTAAGTCAAACCCTTGATGAAAACCAAAGAACTGGGTGAAGTGTCCCTGACAACACCTAATTTTGACTGCATCCATCTTATGCTTTAATAAATTACATAATAGGGTGCAGCTTTCATGTTGGTTCACAAAGAAATGATGCCAGCATTGAGCTGACATCATTTCTTTGTGAACATTTTTCATATTTCATCATTTCTTTCATACATGATGACACAGGCTGACTGACGTTTTTGTTCAACAGTAGAGCAAACAGGATTCAAATAATGTATCAGGGGGAAAAATAATTACTGAAAGATTAAGCAAATAAGTAATGCCGATTACATTAACACAATTACCAAGAATTCCATTCCATTCTGGGTGAATTTTTCCCAAAAACTCCAAGCTTTTATGGCCAGTTTTAAATCATTGTGAGGTTGCACAAGATATAGTCGGTCCACGAAAAGGCCAAGCTCATCATTACCACTATGCAGCCCAGCTAAAAGGCACAACGCTGCTTTTTGTACATGCGCTCAAGGGCACTGCTCATTCATATTGTTTTATTATCTAATACGTTTAAATGTTCAGCTTCAAACATTTGATGATATTAATACAACATATTCCCACAAGCTTTTGGTTAATATGTTATCCATTTGTTATGGACCATCATTGCAAAAGGAGCAGTCACCTTAGAGGGAGACTTTTTAATACAGCGAGGATCAGCATGGCAGGCCCACCACTGAAGGAATTCAACAGAATGTCATGCTGACCTCCACGGGTTATTTTGTCACTTGAGATTTTACTCAGTTCAATATGATTGCAGTTTATACAGTGAACAGTAAATACTATGCTTCTGCAGACAGTGTCAGCAGATCAGTAACAAAACTTTGATATCACTTTAACAGAAGAGGAAAAAAAAACAGAATATAAAAAAGGAGTGATTTCTGCTGAATTCATCTCACAAGCAGAAGGTACAGTGGTGTTGAAAACAGCGGCAGAGTGTGAGAATGAGACTTTAAGGCAATATTGGTAAGCACCACACCAACATCTCAGAGTCAAATCTGGGTTAAGATATCCTGTTGTTCATCAGTTAGGTAAAGAAGGTCAGAAGACGTTTTTCACTTGTCCTGCATTTTTTCCAGAATTGGCACAATCATGTCAAATTTAGGCCTCTTTGCTGGATCTTCGTTCATGCATATCTTCATGAGCTTGCAAATGTGGGGAGAGATGCCAGGGGGGATAGTGGGCCTCAACCCCTCCAAAGAAACCTATAAACCAGAACATACAGACACCTTAAATCCATTAAACTAACAGGTAATAACTGTGAGGTCTGTCTGCAAGCTGCTGATATCCATTTGTTAATCTAATAAGCAACAGTGCTGCTAACCTTCATGCCTATCTCCATGTTGGACAGGTCAGCAAATGGCACTTCCCTGGTTACCAACTCCCACAACAGGATAGCAAAGCTCCACATGTCTGCTGACCGGCGGTTGATCTCTTCTGGCTTCTTCTGAAGGGCTGAGCAATGCCAAGAAAAATAAAGAAGGTTATAGAGTAACGTAACGACATGCCACATCCTCAGACTACTGTGGAGAAATGAAAAGTTATTGCAACGAGTGAGGCTGTTCCTTCCTTAGGATGTGCCTAATTTGATAACATCATGAATAGCTGATCAAAATCACCACCTTGTGTCACTTGCGGTGTATTGTCAATGAGTCTGCAGAACTCAGGTACAAAATATAGTAGTCAATGGTCTACTAATCTGCAGCAAATAACATCCAAAAAAAACCCTGCATTATAAAACAAAATTGAGGCAATTTCTGTTTCCATTCTTGCAAACTAGTGTCTGCCTGCAAACAGCAGCAGACAAGCAGAAATATATACAGTATAAAGTGGGGAATCCCAAGGAATGCATTTTGCACGACAGTTCAGTATTTATCTTAAAAAAAAAGCTTGAACAACATGGAGCTCTGTGGGCTTTTTGCCTGTGATCTAGCATCGTATAGTATATGTTGCTATGGAAACCAAATCTTGTAGATGAAGAGAAACTGAAGACATTTGAGCAGCCGATTTCACAAAGGAAGGTAGCAGGTTACAGATACAAAGCGCAGCACAAACCTAATGTCAGATTAAATACATTTACTTCAACAACAGTGTGTTGTGCCATCTGTTTAGTCTCACTGTAAGGTTAGTACATGTACATCAGCTTGGATTCCAGGCTAAAGTAAAGTCTAACTAAACTAATGCCTCTGTAAGTGGCCATGTTTCTTTGAAGATTAAACAGCCTGTTTAAAACCAATTGCCAACCAGCCATTAAACCAAATTCCATAATCCTTTAGAAATTACTGAAATGTAAATATCATCATGTTGCAAAAGCAGTAGAAACATATTGTTGCAATTCTTCTACAAAATGATACAATAAGCAAACTTGCTAATATAAGGAAAATTCGAAGCAGTAGTGCATTTCTATTATTACATATTACAAACAATTCTTGAATATAAGGCATATTATTAAAATCTGTTACCATGCCAACTATGTGAATTTGTTTTAAACACAAGAAACACTCCCTTGCATATCACAGCATACATACATGTTGTTTCTATGTAACTGGTGGTGATAAATCCCCTTCATCCCATCCCCCACACGCTGTTTCTGTTTGCTTCTCTGTTGCAAATGTTCCCTGGTTATTTTCACATTTTGTAATCAGTTTACGTTTCGAGCTAACTTTGATTTCAATCTATCTCCTGGGGAAATCAGCTGCAAATTACATTTGGCTCAGAGACAGTCTAGAGTTTCCTGCATCCATCATTCAAGTGCAAGCTTGTGTGGCTTCAGCTGTCACTTTGGATCTGTGCTGTATGACTGATGCCTACCCTCAGGGGCTACCCATGCTGGCGAGTACATCCTGCCAGGACACTGGAAGGAAAACTTGACGTCTGCCATGCTGATCCTTGCCGTCATGTCCTCATCTATCTGTGAAAACGGAAAACAGAGTTGACTTAGACGCCTCAAAAAA